CATTCTGAAAATGTGGCCGAGAGAAAAATATTTGGGAACCATTTCTTTCTAAAATTATTTTAAACAATTTGTCCAGTATGGCAGAGGTCCTAATATTTACATATTAGGGGTCTTCTGTAGAGTGAATCTGCTGGTGAAAAACATTCTGTAAGAGCTCAATGGAATTAAAATTAGGTGTGTTGACAGCCACAGTAGCATAGTGAAATTTCTAAAATCATTTTTGTACATATTCCCTTCATATTCCATTGGTGAGATGTAAGTTTCACTCACGCAGCTTCTTCCCATAAACTGCTGCTTCATGGAACTGACTCCCAAGATGATGCTTCCTCCGATCAGTACAATCTTAACCTGTTCAAGTTTAGAGTTATCCATTATCTTCCCCACATACCCATATAAACTGTGCTTCTTACATTGAAACTCTCTACCTCGAGTGACTCTCGGGCCTGGGTGAACATCATTGCAAAAAAAAAAAAAAAGCATAGCAGTGGCATCTTTTAGAAGTAATTTTATAGAAGAATCTTACAAAGCATGTTGCACGTGAATGCTAAGATGTCCCCAGTAGAATGTTGTGCAAACCATCACAATGCCTCATCTGGTTTGTTACTTTTTCAATAAAGCATCTTGCTGCTCATATTTTCACAGGATAGCAATATACACGTGATCTGCCATGTACCTTATTTGGGAGAAAAGGTGACACATTGGACTAGGTGACATTCCACTTATACAATGTAGAGTTCCAGTCCTCGTATACCTACTGGGAGGTACTTTTGACAATTGATATGTCTAAACCTGGTTACTGACTGACCTGTGGCTAGACACTCCTGTATACTAAAAAATAAATGTATTGTGTGTTGGGATAGAATAAGGAACAAATAGTAAATGTTTATAAACTTGACATGTTTTGTCTTTCTTAAAGCTTCAGCAGATAATGAAATATGGAGAAAAAAGACTGAAATTTAGAATTTTTTTTTTCTTTTCATTGGTTAGGTAGACTTCACATGCATTTGTCTTGTCAAGCAGCGTTTGTTTGTAAATTTAGAATGTTTGTGCTTTTTTTTTTTTTTTTCATTGGTTAGGCAGACTTCACATGCATTTGTCTTGTCAAGCAGCGTTTGTTTGTAAAATTGATGTAAGTGTAAATATACTGAGTCTCGTTTGTCTATGCTGGATTTGAATGATAAGGTATATTTGTATGTATGTATGTATGTATGTATGTATGTATGTGTCTAGTAGGTATTTTTATTTATGTTTAGTGCTTGTCCACATTGATTTGGGGGACGTTTTTATGCTAAAAAAAAAAAAAAAAAAGTGTAGTGGTAGTAACAGGTTGACATATCTTAAATTTTTTTTACATATCAGCTTTATAAAAAGTTGGTGATGTAATATTGTGTGTTTTATAGATTGTAAAATATTTATCAGAATTCCATCAAATATTTTCTGCCTAAAGAATTATATATTTTTTTTTTTAATTAGGATGGCATTTATAAAATCAAAGTTATAACCAGTTTTGTTCTCATGTATTATAAGCAAATTTACATAAATAAAAATGCCTACTAGATTCACACCCACACACCCCATGGCTGGACATTTCACCAAAAAAAATACAAGTAAAAATAGTAACAAGCAATATTTGAAGTATTTTAATTAGTAGTATTATAAGGTAGAATAGGACTAATAATAACCACTGAATTTCCAAGATATTAAATTACTAAATCTAAAGTTAAGTTTTCTTATTTCAATACTTGTTTATTGAAATTGGTATTTTTAAAAAATATTTGAGCATATTTGGGTAAAAAGTAGCAGTTAATTATTTAAATTTGTATTTAACAGATAAAAGCTAATTCATCCCTTTAAGATAATGATCATTAAAAGTGAAATTGGAAGATTTTTTATATCGTAAAAGCTTAAGATTTTAGCTGTAGTAAAATGTGCTTTTTTTCAAAATACTTATCATCTTACAGTAATATTTGAAGTAAAATATATACAAAATAGAATTTAAAAAAGCCTGTAAAAAAACAAACAAAAAATTATAAATTGATACAGTAAATAAATATAAATATATGCAGTACATTACGGTAAAGAGTGTGACATACATGTTAAGTACACCACTACATTTTTGGTTAAATGTTCGTTGACCAAATATCCATTCTTCCAAATGTCTGAGTACTCCCCCCCCTCGTACATTATCATCGAAATCTCACATAGACAAATCAGAATCATGGTACACTTACAAATTTTACTTGACAAACTAAAGAAAAACAGAAAAATTAAAAAATACGAGAATTTTTTCTTACTTTTTCTTCATATTTCATTCTTTAATAAAAGCGAAACATGTTAGATTTATAAACATTTCCTGTTTGTTCCTTAACCTTCATTCTGTCAGATTCTGATCTGCATTTGATACCAATGTATTGTTTTGTAAAATATTCTTTCTTTCACCTTGACTATTTAAAAGCTATCCATCTATATTTCAGCGTCCGGCCTTTCAGAGATAGATGGTATTATGTACACTATTTACATTTTTCGGACTATTGTCCTCATCTTTGTCGCCATATTTATTACAACATTTTGGCCATTGTATGCTCCGGCCTTCTTCAGGTGGTTGGAATGTTGAACTGAACCTTTTATTTCGCTCACTGGGGTAGACTGTTCTAGTTCCACGTGCCATGTCTAATGAGTGTCAGTTATCTCCTGTTAATTCCCATCTCCAAGTTCTCCACTGCCTTAACCAGGTATTGAACTCACACTCTTTTGGGTCATGTCAAAGGTGTTGGTTAGATCCAGTGACAGGACCCAAAGAGTGTGAGTTCAATACCCGGTTAAGGCAGTGGAGAACTTGGAGAGGGGAATTAACAGGAGATAACGGATAACTGATAATCAATTAAACATGGCACGTGGAACTAGAACAGTCGACCCTAATGAGCAAAATAAAGGGTTCAGTTCGACATTCCAACCACCTGAAGAAGGCCAGAGTGTACAACAGCTGAAACGTTATAATAAACATGGTGATAAAGATAAGGACAATAGTCCGAATAATATAAATAGCGTTGACTAAAGCTATGTGCATTTTGTGTCACAGTAGCCCTATTTTTGGTTTGTACTTGGTCAGAAAGCTTCCATTCATGTCTTGTAGTGATAAATCTTGAACACCTAATGTCTTGTCAGCAGTTGATGACTTTTATTTTTCCCCACTATTGATTATTCATCATAACTGAATGCAAACACCTCACAAATTGTAATAGCCAAATGTTGAGGTTAAATTTTCAAAACTATCAAACAGTTTGGCTTTTGTTGAAATAACCCCTCTCTTTCTTCTTTTTCTAAATATGATATTCAACAACCGCATCAAAATGAAGGACTTTGGAGCATCTGACCTGCTTATATAACATGCACAGTTGTTATGAGACAGTAGTTGTTATTCTTGGCTTATATAACATGCACAGTTATGAGACAGTAGTTGTTATTCTTGGCACATGTTACTGGTTATAATTTTTTGGTTTATCAATGTATGGTTGCTTTTAGATAAATTATTCATAATGCTTTATGTGGATAATTGATATATTTTTTCCTTCAAGAAAAGGAAGAAACTAATTTTCCCTTTACAAGAACTATTTTAGTTGATGATTGTTCCGAACAAAAACACTTTAGTTGTTGGTTGCAATTCTGTTAGGAATGTCTACAAAAACAGCCCCCACCCCCCCAAATTTATGGAGAAAACATACAGATGCATGCTGGGATTTTTTCCTCACCAATAAGATAGTCCACTTCTCAGTCTCATCTGACTTAGTTTTGTTTTTGTCTTGTAGTCAAAACGCTGCAATCGCTTGTCTGTATCCTCTTTTGTGTTAACCATTCTTAGTTTAAGGGCTTTGGCCTTAGCCTTTGCATTCTGAGGACCATTATGCTATTTTCATTGTTATTCCCCTCAATCTTTTCAGTTTCTTTGAAGCTTCACACTGCTGCTCTGAATTCACTAAATGTTACTGGTTTGTTTTTCTGGGTAACAAGTTGTAAACAGTTTAAGTTTGGACAGAAGACATTTTAAGACCATGGCTATTCACAAGCTGATGTTAATCACATCTGATGTTTTTAATAAAGTTGCAGCATTTTCGGCTCTAATAATATAATCCATAATACTTTTGAATATAAATCTGGCAATGTTTACATATTTGAGTTTCTTCTTTAAATGCTATTTGTTTTCAATCTTCATTGGGGAATGACTGCAAAACACTTTCTCTTCCCCAATTTATAGGCAGAAAGCATACAAATGCATGATGGGATTTCTTCCTAGCCAATAAAATAGGCCAGTTCTCAGTTTCATCTGACTCATTCCCAGTCTGTCTCATCGTGAAGTCAGAATACTACGTTCACTTCTTAGTTATGTGAACTTTTTGCCTTATTTCTGTTAATTTGCCTTACATATATTGTTTTGCTTGCTTTAGATCATTTTTTGCTCTGTTCTTTTCATTGCTAATTTTGTCAATTCTGTTTGTTGGGCAGTTCTGTTACTTATTTTGTATTTAACCATGATTCTACCAATGCTGAATGTCTTCAAGATTTGTAGAGACAATGTTGGAAATGCACTTTTTATCATCGTGGCCAATATCAGATTTTTTTATTTTTGGATGTTCATATTTCAGTTATCTCCCAAGAGAAGCTTGTAAATTTAAGCAGGCTTTCAACATGTATGAATAGGGTGTTGTGATTGCGGAGATGGTGGCTCTGTAGCCACAGGCAATAATTTAATATGGGAGGGTAGAGTCGAGTCTGTAAATATACCAATACATAAATATTTTAATTAGAAAGCATAAATAGTAGGCATCGTTAATTGGTTTTAAATAGAATTTTATTCGATAAAGTGTGAATAAAGTCCGATTTGGGGGGGGGAAGGAATAAAAACAAAATAACAGCTAATAGGAAAAACAATTTTGCTCATAGAAAAAATTTGCAACAAATTTTAAATCAAGAACTAACAAAAAACGTGGTGAGCCATTATATAATCACTGCAGACATTTTGTTTGGATGTGTGAGAGAAAGAGAGAGACTCTACATAAAGATTGTTCCATGGAAAAAGCAGGAAGCTCACGGTGGGTCCAGCGGAAAAACCAAAAATGAAAACAGAACTTCTGGGCGTTTCTATGAATTGGCTGAAATCGTATTAGTTGTGCTTGACGATTGTTGCTGAGTTTTCAACAGAACAGTACAATCGGTCCCTTCGAATTTAGGCAGGTTCAATTCATACCGCAGTTCCAAAGTACGAGGTATGTAGCGTCCTCCCAGATAATGATGAGTTCCATGGAAATGACGAGCGCAGAGCTTTGGAGCCTTCAGGGAAATCAGCATTGCCGGTTGTAATGCATCCGGATTATCATTTTCATTGTCCCAACCTTGGGGTGGAAAAAAAAAAAAAACAATGCATTTGTATTTAGTCTTTGAAAATTAGCATTTAAAATTCTGACACAAGAAAGAAGGGGAAAAAGAAAACACCCTAAAGGCAGGTTCTTATCAAATTTTAGAGGGGACAAGATCTTTTTTTTTTTCTTTTCAATTATATATTCAATATCTAGACATGCTCTGCAGAATTAGAAAAAGTTTATAAAAATAGCAAAAATCCCGTTGCATGTACATTCCAGGGGCCTTCTCACACCTGTTGGAGGAACCACTCCTCTCTGATTGACTGTCTTTAGGGATGTAGTTGTACATGTGATGCTTCGCCATGTGGTGAAATAAGCCACAGGTAAGCTGGAATTCCTTGGTCCAAGAGGGCACAATGTCTTGCCTGCACAGTTGGAGCCACCATTTACGATTTAGGTAAAATGCATGCATGATTCTTGTGCCTTTAAAACTATTGCTAATTTGCATGCATAGCCAAAACCCTGAATAAAAGGTGAGCTGACAGAACTTGACCTATGTTAGGTGTGGCTATCAATTACAGGCCAATGGGGGTTGCCACCCAAGGCTATAGGACCCACACTGTCCTGCTATTTGCCTATAGCTGGCAGGGGTGGGGGAAGAGATGAATTCCTACCTTCTCCAAGAGTATTTGCACATTCTACTGGAATTGAAGTCAACTCTCCGATTCCTTAATCCAAACTACTACCTATTACTCCACATGCCTTCACGTAAAATAAATAATATATTTAGTGTTGCATGCAGGGCAATCTTGTTTTTTTTTTTTTTAAAATCAGCATTTAAAATTATGATCTCAAATACTGACCCCCAACAAGAAAGGAAAAAAAAAAAACAAAACAGGCTCTTAGATGCCAGCAAAAAAAAAAATGTAATAGTTTTTCAATCTTGCATTAGTTACTCTGAGAATTCTTTTACCACAATGACTCCTAGTTGGCAAGTTTTATATATATATATATATATATATATATATATAAAAAAAATGTGTGTGTGCACAAAGGTTTAGGCAAGGCCAACATCAGTATCAACTGTGTGCAACATGTGGCTCATCTCAATGATAGCCTTACCTGCCACTGTGGCTTTGTCACAGTGTAATAAGGCAGGCCTTGTCCACTCATGGAAACATGTGGCAATTAATTCTTAACCACATGTTCCATCTGTCTAAAAGTTTGTAAAACACCTTCGGACCTTGGGAGACACGTGTGTGTCCATAAAAGTTGAGCACACCTTTATTTTACTGAACCCTCATTTGTTGTTTGCCATGTATTGTTTATCACTCTTTCAGTCGTGTAATTAGGAGCTTAGCTAATGCAATATCGTTCTATTCATTGAAATATATTGTCACTATGTTTGATGAATAAAACGTTTCTCTATTATTGTATTGGTGCATTTCACTGAAAATTTACAACACTTTTCATTTCAATTAATCATATCTTCAGTTCAAGTTTTGATTTAATTTATATTGTAATGGAGATTGCCTGTTATATTTTTTTTTTTACCAGTGGTATGACTTTACATAATTATAACACAATAAGCCTTGTGGAAATCCGAGGTGACTAATGCAGGGTTAAGAAAGGGCTTTGTCGAATAACAGAAATTTCATCATTTGAACACATCTAACAGTAACAACTAAAATGGCTGCCATATTATGATTAATATATTTAATTAAGAAATATGATTAATTATTAAAATGGTAATGATGTTAAGAGATTTGTAATAGACCCTCGTAAGGAAATGGCCAATCCAGCAGTCTCTTTAACAGCATTGCTGTGACAAGTCCTTTGATTGGTCAGTTGATTAGCCAATGACAACCCTTCCTCATTTCCACTTTGGCAGACAATTTAGAACCCCCCCTTTTTTTTTACTACTGAATGTCAGCAGTTTAAAATGTACCAAGCTGCCTTCTGACTAACAACCATGTGGAAATATCAACAAACCTGTACATACCATTTGGATAAATATTTCTATTATTAGAGGAAATCTGTTTTCCAGTGTGTGGAAAAAGTTTCAAGGGGTGCCGACAACATCACCAAATACAATCCCAGGAAGAAACCATTCATTTCTTGTCAAGAGAGTCACTGCAGTCGTCAAGAAAGTGGTGAAGAGAAATCCATGAGGAAAATGACAAAAAGAGGTGGGGATTGTGAAAGATAATTTTAGAGCTAAAATCATGCAATATTCAATGGCGATAACTGCTCTTCAGTGCCTCCAAGCAAAAAGACAGCTTTTGGTTGCAGGGTGGGGTGATGTTGGCAGAGATGTACTGCAATCTGCATTTGGTTGGACAAGTAGTTTTTCACTGTGGAGGCTCTGGTCAAACAAATATGGGTATCCCAATCTTCCTTTGAAGTGGGTGGGGCTGAGCTGGGCCCTTCAATCATCTACCCACTGAGCTAGAGAAAGAGACTTCTCTGTAAACCCCTATGCAGACACAGGGCTCCTGTGGTGGAAGTGCCACTCAGACAGCTTCTTCCTCAGAACCATATTTTTGTGAAATGAACTCGCAAGAGGATGCTTCCCTGATCACTACAAACTTAACCTCTTTAAGTCGAGGGTCAACCGTTACCTATTTTAAATATCCTCATGAGATGCACTTCTTGCTCCATCTCGGTATACCGTACAACCATCTCATCCATAATAATCTACAATGAGTGGCTCTTGGTCCTTATGTTGAACAATAGTATTTTTGAAAGATTTCAGAATACTGAAATGGGTCAGTAATGAGTTAGGGAAAGATGTTGACATTAACCTATTTTGGGATTTGTCCCATTTCTTTCTTTCTTAAGGGATTTTAAAAATAATTTGGCAAACATGGATTTTCATGCCTGCAAAAAGAATGGTTTTTCCCTTAACTACTTCTCAGCAATGTTTATTGTTTTAAAAAGCAATTAGAATTGTAATAAAACCTAAACATATGATGAAAGTAAAAATGATTTTATATTTACAACATTTTAAAAACTAATAAAATTAAAACTACTGCAATGCAATATTTATCATTTACCAATTTATAAAGAAATAAATATGAAAACTTATAAACATTTACTAAATTATAAAAATATCTAAACCAACTCTAAAGAAATCCTTATTATTTACCATTCCAACTCTAAAGAAATCCTTATTATTTACCATTTTATAAAGTTCAAATTGTTTGGCAATTAGCTGATGTTTTGCCAACCATTAAATTAGATTAATGTTTTATTTATATATATATATATATAAAAGTGAACATTGAAGTCAACATTTAGGTGACAGGCTGTTTCATGAAACAATTGGTGACAATAAGGGTCTGTATCAATGTCTATTCACTTTTATATTTACACATGCTCTCTCTGATATTGAGCACTATCTATCCCATAAATATAGCACACCTTAAGAGTATATTTCTTATATATATATAAAATTGTATGTATTTTGGCAGCATCTTTTCATTAAGACATTAAATAATTTAGACAAGTTTTGTCTACTTATTTTTTTCATAGATCCTCTCGTAACTACAGACATATTTCTCAGTATCCTTATTAAAGAAAATTACCGTGTTGATGCATATTTATTTTATTCCAGTTTAGGCCAAAAATAAGGTACTGCTGTCATATATGGTATGGTCATTATATATATATATATATATATATATATATATATATATAAAATATTTTGTTGTAAACTGCCAAGAACCAAAAAAAACAAAAAAAAAAAACAATCTATAAATTGACTTTCATATGTTTAGGTTGTTTTACAATTCTACTCATTGCTTTTGAAAGCAACAAACATTTCCAAGTAGTAGTTAAAATAAAAATAGTATCATGGGGGGGGGAGTGTCTCTTTGACACTCCATTTTATTACGGACATGGAAGTCCATGTTTGCAAAGTCAGATGACACTAATGAAAAAACTCATTAGAAAATCTTACCAGATGGAATGTCGATGCTGCAAATTGGATTTTCAACCTTTTTTAGGGTCTCCAAAAGGACGCCAAAATCTCCTTTCACGGGTCCTGCATGTTGGATGCCATAGATTGCATCAATGACCAGATTGTAAGCAGAATCAATGAGATGGGCTTCACTTGGAAAGAACGACAGAAACGGCATATCCATGCGTTCGCACTGTAATCTCAGGTTTTCAAAGATTTGTTTGTTTGATGTTTTGGGGTAGAATATGGAGGGTTTGTATCCCTAAAAAAAAAGGAAAAGAAACACCAAATCTTATTAAGAACATGGATGGAGGGATTGATTTTTGCTGATGGACAGGAAAGACAAAAAAGGATACTCGTACTTACAAAATGCTTGAGATGACGGGCACACACAAGTCCATGTGCCCCATTGTTACCTGGACCGCAGCAAACAAGGATGGCACCATTGTCTTTACTCATTTTATCCAAAGGATAAACCTGTAAATCCAAAATAAGAAATATTGATTTCTACATTAGAATGAATTCTACCTCCTTTATAAATACTAACCTGCGAGACTTCCTAAGAGAGGCAGTCGGGATGCAGTGTAACCTGACAAGTTTGGATAGACACTTCTATCTGCTGATAAATAACACTCTTATTTTGTATATATGTTCTGTTATTTCAATGCACTTGTTCAACCTACCTTCTTCTTTTCATGTCTTAAGTTTGTTTCAGGCCCATAATAGGCCCCAACAATTTCTGTGGTGAATAATTGTCAATAGACTTTCATTATTTTGAACTGTTGTTCTCATCTTGGTTGATAGATGTTACAAAGTCTTGACCAAGTACATTCTGGTCATCATCAGGTGTCCATTGTTTTGGCTGATATGGGATATCTGTTAACTATTGTGTTATAACAATCAAGATGAAGATAACAGTTTGAAATAATTAAAGTATAATCCTAATTATTAACTTTATTTTTGTTGTTTTTATCACAGTGTGGCAGACTTCACCATATTAATTTATCTTAGATTAGGAAACATGGCTGACGCAGAAAAGGATAAACCAAAGACATTGTTACACATAAAATATGTATTTAACAAGATGTACAATATCAAACAACGGTGTGAAAGAAAGCATGCATTTAAGTAAGAAAAGGTTGAAATAAACAAGAGTTGTGTCTCTTTAACTGTTATTTTAGTATTTCAAAGTTCACTGGAATAATCCTCATGAGAGTCTCTTGTAATGACTGTTCTTAAAAGATTTGCTGTGTTAGAAAAGATTATGTGAGTGGAGATACAAGGTATGTTCAGCATGTGAGTGGTGTGTGTGAGTGAGAAGGTTGGCGCATGGTTTCAACTGTCGTGGATTCTCGCTAAAAAGGGTTAGAAAATTCTTGTTTAAATAAATGACTATAGGCTCCACATTGCTGCACAGGAAGAATTATTCCCACATGCAGGTGATCTGATTGGTTGGCATCAATCAATCAGCGAGTGACCTTTGGGGAGATTTAAGAAAGCTTCTGTGATCCATTTCTCCCAAAAGTGCACAAAACTGACTACTTAAAAATAGAGCGATTACAAAATTGTTGCATTATTGCGATTTGTAAATTGTCTATAATAACGTAGTGGTGATTTATTAACCAATGAATGCTTGGCATTGTATGTGATTTGTATTTTTGCATGTATGTATGTGCGTAATAGATCCGCACAACAGCATTTTTCTTAGTATAGTTTTTGACATTGGGTGATATTATATATATATATATATATATATATATATATATATATATACCAGAATTCAAAATGGTAGCAATTGAGAGAAACAAGATTTGTTTAAGGAGTTAGCAAAAGAAAAAAAAAAAAAAACGAAAAGGACAAATAATCACAGCAATCAATTGTTCATACCTCCTGAAGAGTGGATGGAGTAATTCCTGAAGAGAACATCTAGAAAACTCTGGATTTGGGATGCCGAAGGTAACATCACTCAGTTAAGTGACAAAACTTTTACTTGTGTGTGTATATATATATATATATATATATATATATATACACACACACACAAAATATTTATTTTTCTTTTTATATGTTATTTTTATAGATACAAATATTTAAGTGAATGCTCTGTTTATAATAAACAGTATTAAACATCATTTACCAGCCTGAATGTTCAAGAAATTCCATAGAAAATGTGTCCTCCAACAGGAATCAAACCTGTATCCTACAAGGAACCGTCATATAGGCTATGTGTATTAAAATAATTGTCGGATTTAGTCCATTTCATATGTCATGTCATTTGTTTACATTAAGATGTGCTTCAAGGATATATATATATATATATATATATATATTAGTGGTGACTCTGAAGGTCATGCTTGTCAGGCTTAGGCTCATGAAATAAAGATTATTACCTATGGTATTTTAAGTGTTTGATATTAATTTATATATATTATATATATATCCAACATTGATGGAATAAATAATCTTGAAATTTACGTGTCTTTATGAGCATATTCATTATTAAAATAATTGTTTAAATAAGTGGCATAAGGGTTAATAATTTGTATCAACATATCAGTTACTTTCAAAAAGAGGTCAAAGTAAGGTTGGTTGGTGTCTAAATTAAAACGGAAGATGACATTTAAACCCATATTCCAAATATTTTGCTTGAAGATGAAACAAAGCTTGGTACTTTAATTCAATTTAATTCTAATAATTATATTGAAGTTTTTAGCTCATTTTTGAAACATGAGAACTCTTATGTAGTGAAGGAAACATATTTTTAAATAAATAATTATATTTAGGCTCTACTTTTGTATTGAGCACTGTTGTTTTTAAAAATAATAACAAAAATACTAAAGAACTTTGGATTATTTACCTAACAAGTTCTTTCTTATTTTCACATATGAACACACACATATATAATAATCATATAAATATAAGTAAGTATACTCGTCCAGAAAAACCTTAGGTGTTTTGGCTTGTAAATGAGCAAACCAATACCGAAGGAAAAATAAGGAATAAAAAAAAGAACTAAGAATTTGTAATTCAGACGAAAACAATTGACTAGAATCGAATCTCAGAGTCCAAAAAAAAAAAAAACCCGACATGAGTAAAGTAAAAAAATAACTAAGCAAAGTGCTCCATACACTAAGGTTTGCCTGGCTCTTTAGTTATATATATATATATATATATATATATATATAAAATTAGTTTTAAAAGTACATTTTTATTATTTTGAACTATTGTTCTCATATTGGTTTGATATATTTGTTATTATAAACACAATGTTTCAACCAAGTACTCTCTCTCATCATCAGGTTTTCATTGTTGTGGCTGATATGGAATACTTGTTGATTATTATATTTACCTGATCTGGAAATTGAATACCTGACCACTAGATGACGGCAAGAAGCTCTTATATCCACTACACCACCATTCCAAAGGACATTAGTGTTGGATTTTTTTTTTTTGAGTCTTTTATATTCAATATTAGATTGTTTGAACATTTCATTATCATGGTAGATTCATACTGCTTTTCATAATTTAGTATTTCATTTCTGAGGTTATCATCAGGTGTCGATTGTTTTGGCTGAAATGTGATTGCTATTGATTATTATTTTTTGATCTTGTCATACCCCAATGTTTCACAACCAAATTAAGTTTTAAGATTTGAAGTTGTTGGAGGTGCAGTGGTGACATAATGGTTAAGAGTGGAAAAATGAAATTGTCAAGCAAGGTTCAATTTTTGTGTTTTCTTCATCCTAAATAAATCCTGTAAATAGCATTTGAGTCTGGTGGGGGGACTCTACAAAACCCAAAGCCTGCCTGAGCCACGTTTTTAATGTGGAAGGATTATTTCATGAGTCAGTATTCTCAATTATGCGATCATTATGTTAGGAAAGGGTGCTGAAAAGTTCATATCCCAACTAAGGTATGTATTATTTAATTTTATTAAATTTTTTTCAAACTTTGATTTTAAATTTATAATTTCTTGGGGTCAGTTAATAACAGGAAAGATCCCCAGATTTTCTTCAAGTTTTTATTGGTTCTTATCTGGTAGCTCAGTTTCAGTTTCAGTCATTTTGTCATTGTCATAAAGTTGCCTCCCTGTGCCTTTTCTATAAATACTTTCATGGTTATTGTTTTCAATGATTGGTTAGATTTTGGGAAGTGGCTCAGAAATGAGAACTTTTCAGTTCAGGTTCAGTCACTTGTTTGAGAATGAAAGATGTATGTCTACAGATAATTTAAAATTCACTTTTGGAATCAGGTAATAAAGTTATCTCCCTTGTATTAAGAATTTTCATTTCTCCCCACTTTTTACAAAAAAAAAGAAATAAAATTACAGGAAACAACAAGGAACAAAAATTTAACAAGTTTAAAAGGAAATTTTTCCATCTACAATTTTTTTTTTCTTTTCTTAATTGGTATCACCCCTTGCAAAGCAGTAAAGCCACTAAGACACAAGGGGTTACTGGGTGTGGAAGAATTAGGAACAGAAACATTAATAATGAGCGGGAAGAGGAAAGAGTAATCAGGAGGACAGTAGATAGCGATTGACATTGCATTTAAATATTTGAAGATTAAAGTTGGATGGAAAGCATAGACCTGGAAGGGAGTTCCACAAGCAAGGCAGTAAAGCCACTAAGACACAAGGGGTTACTGGGTGTGGAAGAATTAGGAACAGAAACATTAATTATAAGTGGGAAGAGGAAAGAGTAATCAGGAGGACAGTAGATAGCGATTGACATTGCATATAAATATTTGAAGATTAAAGTTGGATGGAAAGCATAGACCCGGAAGGGAGTTCCACAAGCAAGGCAGTAAAGCCACTAAGACACAAGGGGTTTACTGGGTGTGGAAGAAGTAGGAACAGAAATATTAATAAAAGGAAAGATTAATGAGGAGAACAGTAGATAGTGTTTGACATTGCATTTAAATTTTTTAATATTAAAGTTGACTGAAAGCATAAAGCCAGAAGAGTTTCACAAGTGAGAAAAGAAACTGTTAGCATAGAATTTATAATTGCGTCAGCTTGACTGTAAATTGATGAGATCTTGAGTCTCGTACTGTGCTTGAATTCAACAAGTTTAGGTACCATAGCAAAAAGCTCATTCAAACAATAACCATGAAAGTATTTATAAAAAAGGCACAGGGAGGCAACTTTATGACGATAGCAAAATGCCTGAAGCTGAGTTGACAGATAAGAACCAATAAAAACTTGAAGAAGGAAATCTGGGGATCTTTTCTGTGAACTAACCCTAAATAATGTAAAGTTACTTATCACAAATATTAACTGACCCCAAGAAATTATAAATTTAAAATCAAAGTTTGAAAAAAAATTTAATAAAAAACAAACTTTGATTTTAAATTTATAATTCCAAATTATTGAAAAAAAAATTTAATACAAAACAATCTTTTGAAATTATAAATTTAAAATTTGTTTAACTTGCCTCACAACAACTTTAAACCCTCAGAAAGAAAAATTACCAAAA